AAATGAGAAATACCCTAGTCCTGTGGGAAGCAAAAGTTTGAGGTCTGGCTTACAATGAAACTGCTAGAGATCCTGGTCGGGATTGATAGGGAGTCACTTAAGGCTGTATATGTAGCCGGTATAGTCTTTTTAAGTTGTGTGTCTGTTACCTGAGGAAGCTAAGATTGGAGGCCGAGACTATGGTGCTTACAGGATTATTTGTAATTCATTTAAATTGCTGTGTGTACTTTTAGAAAGAACTTTTTAGATATAGGTTAGAAGTCTAACTTTGCTTAATTCTTTATTTTTTTCAATTATGTATCTAAATCTGTGTTTATCAGGTTTGTTAATCAGAAGCTTTTTTTTTTTTTTCCATGTTGTAGATGTCCAAGTCTTCAACAGCATCAAAAATGTCATCCCAAGAGGAAATACTGAGTGATGGGCGGTTTAGCTGTGTTACTAGGGATCCCAGATTTTGGGAGATGCCTGAAAAAGAACGTAAAATCAAGATTGACAAACGATTCCGAGCTATGTTTCATGACAAGAAATTTAAGCTGAAATATACAGTGGATAAAAGAGGTCGCCCTGTTAACTATACTTCTACAGAGAATCTCAGGAAATTTTATGCCCTGTCAGAATCTGACTCTGATCATTCAGAAAATGATAGTAAAGAACATACTGAAAAGAAAAAAAAGAAAAAAAAAGCTAAACCTAAAGGAGAAGCAGATTCTGCAAAACTGCTTGTGGATGGTCTCTCTAGGGAGGAGAGCAAAATAAACAGACGAGGGGTGGACCAAACATGTGAAACAGTGACAAAGCTAGATGACCTTAAAAATGAAGGACAAAAAATTACATCTAAATTCAACTTGAAAGAGGACTCTAAGAAAACTGGAACAGAAATTGATCGCTCTCGGGGAAATAAGGGCATTTTACATAGAGAGGAAAACAAGCAAGGAGATGCATCAGGAGGAAGATCAATTTCAATTCAAAACAAGGAAAAGTCTTCACAACAAAGTGGTACTAAATTGGTTAAAGCTCCCAGGAGGGACTGTTTCCTAGGAGGAAAAATAAAAGAATCAGGTTAGTTATTCAAATAACAAGTAGAATTTGGCTATGTTTACTTGGGTATCGTTGCTTTTGTTTTATCAGTTTTATGCATTTATGTTTTGCAAGATCAGTCATGAAATAGCTGACTGACTCTGATTCAGCGTTGCTTAAGAATTGCTGGAGCTGAAATTGTTGGTTAGTTAGAAAAGTAAAATGTATAGGAGCATACACGCTACTGTATTTATCAATTGGAACTGCAAGTACAAGGTCTGATACCATGAAGGCTTCAGCATATCGATGCTTGTTGGCTGAAAGCGTAAGGATGGCAGCATCAAGCCAGTAATATTAGACAGCATTAGAGAGAAGAGGTGACTTGAAGAAAAACTTTCTTTATATTGCCTGTGCATGCGTATTGCCAATGTTATTGAAATCTAATTCCTACCTGTTGACTCTATACATATGAGTAGAGTAACAGAATAATATTTCATTAGAGTTTGAGATTGATAATACAATTGTGTGCCTAAAGAGTGATTAGATTAGATTAGACAAGATGAAGAGGCAATGCTGATGATTTATGTTGTGTGGACTTCCTTGATGTAATTTGTTCTTGCATCGTTACACATTTCAGGGGTTCTGTAAATCTGTATGAAGAAAACTTGAGGTTTTTTCTTCACTGTAAAGGATCATATATAATTCCAACATAAAAATAGATATCTAATGTTTATCTTTCAGTGACTCTATGCAGAGACACTTGTGACCAAAGTGACATTAGTAAAAATGAATTAGAGAAAAAAATTTCTGCAAGTGATGCTTTTGAGCATGCAGAATCGGAAGAAGAGGAGCCAGAAGATGATGGGGAAATGAGCGAGGAAGAGGAGCCAGAAGATGATGAGGAAACAGGCGAAGAAGATAATGATTCAGAAGATGAAGAAAGTGATAGTGGGCCTGACCTAGCTAGAGGCATAGGGAACATCGAAACAAGCTCAGAGGATGATGAGGATTTAAATGAACTATTTCCAAGGGAGCCAGAAATAGAGCATTCGTGGCGTGAGCTGGATAAAGATGCACCTCGTGGAGATGAGGTAACAATACTTTTCATGTGAAAAGTTGCTACATTACAAACTCTGAAATGTACACTGTTATGAGTTCATTATAGATCTCCATCTATGAAACGGTTTGTGAAAGTATTTTTTATAAAGGTTTTTCAGCCTTTTAGGTACAGAATGCAAGTGATGATGAAATTGGCTGAGAATGAGAGACTTGCAATATTCACTGGTGTCTCCCCTTCCCTCTAAGTAGAGGGTTACCTATAGGTAGATAAGCTGTCTACAGGTGAAAGAACAAACAGAATTGAGTTTTTCAGAAATTCCAGAATTTAAATAGTACTGCTTTTGTTTCCTACTGATTTTTTTCACTTTAATTTTTTAACTTGTGCTTTAAGAAATTAAGAAATCATTAGGCAGTGAAGTAGGACTTTAAAACTGAGCACAGTTAGCATATAAGAAATCACAGTACTCTAGTGCTGTTATAATACTGTGATACAAGTTGCTATTGTGACTAACCCTATGACGATGACAAAATCGTAAGTGCTGATGTTGTAACTGCAGTCCTAAATCTGTAATTGGTGCAGTCCATTCTGGGGTGCTTCGCTATATATGCCCTTTTTATCTGCTCTGGTGATTGCTGCTTCTGACCTTTGCTAGGTTAAGTAATTCAAACTCTTGAGGAAAATGCTGCTTTCATTTTCTCAGCAATTTGTTACTGTGATTTTCACCAAAGATAGCTAGAGTTGTGTATTCCCCATAGCGATCAAGAATTAAACTTATGAATTTTATATCCTTTTTTTCTTCTCTCTGTTCAGATTACAAGTAGATTGGCAGTTTGTAATATGGATTGGGATAGGTTGAAGGCTAAGGACTTGCTGGCTCTATTTAATTCTTTCACACCCAAAGGAGGAACGGTATTTTCTGTTAAGGTAAGACCTGATTTCTAAAAGGAGTACTGGCTTTTACTGTAAAAAAACCCACCACCAAACCAAAACCAAAAAAACGCCCACAAAGTAAGACAATTCTGTGGAGAATGAAAAGAGATACTAACACGATAAATGAGAAACTGTGTTGCAAATTAACTTGCTGTGTTAGAAATAAACATGTGATGCTTTTCAGCAATGGGCACATATTTGGTAGAGTTCTATCCTGAAGCTGTTAACTTCTTGTGTTTATGAGGTTGACTCTAAGTGCTGTTTTTCTGAGACTAATAGTGAAGTTCTCACAGTCTAGTAGGGGGAGACTACATTTCCTTGGCTAGTTTAATTTTTAGTGGCCTTTATGGTAGATAGCCCAACCTTAAATCTGGCTATTTCTAAATGCCTGCCAACCCCTTTTACCATTGCACAACACTTCTTGTTTTTCACTACTTTTGAGTTATTAGTGAACTGGTTGAATTCTGATCAGTTAAGTTATATTTTCCATTTTTAGTATCTGCCTCCAGCTTTCTGAGAAATGTTAGTCAAATACCCCTTTCTGAAAAGGGCCACAGTGAAATGAACAAAGTCAAGGTTCCTGTTGTTCTTCGTCTGTCTCAAAATATTCTCATTCCTAACAGGCAGTTTGTTTATTCTACTATCTTTTCTGTAAATTAAAATTAAGAGGTTATTAAACTTTATGGAATTGATGCCTTTACTGATTTTAGATTAAAAAACCCCATGAAGTCTAAAAGGCTTGGTGAGATATTTTTTCTTTGTTGGTGTACCTTATGCCACTACAATTAAAAATTTACTTTTGTGTTGTTGTGTTTGCAGATTTATCCTTCAGAGTTTGGAAAAGAGAGATTGAAAGAGGAAGAACAAAAAGGACCTGTGGAACTATTCGATCTTCCAGAGAATGCCACAGAGAATGACGGGTATTAACTTTAACTTCTAATGGGAGATATAATACGTCTAATTCTCAGTGAAAATCCTGATCAACTCCTGTTTCCAGAAGTTCATATGTGGAAGTCTCCTGTGGATGCCTTAATTTTATAGCTTTTTCAAGGGATGTTTTACAGCTGTCCCTGGTTCATTGTCAATGCATTGAATAAATGCATTATGCTGAAACTTGAGCAGATTTGCTTGTTGATAAGTGAGTGCAAAATTTCTGTTATGTAGCTCATTGGAATAATAAATGGAACAAATGTCTGGAGAGCTTAACGTGGCATTTCTCCTCTACATATTGCCATTCATGCAGTAAACTCCCTTTGTTGCTTACTGTCAAAATTTTTGTCTGTGTAATCAACAGAGACCTTAACTTAGGCCAAGAATTCCGAGACTGACATTTCTTGAGTGCTTCTACAGCAGCCCTGGCTTACTAGGCTGAGCTCATCAGGCCTACCATTGTCCAGACTTTTTCAGGCGTGTCTGTCTTTTTTTTTTTTTTTTTTTTTCTCCCCTTTTGTTCTGCTTGGAAATCTTGTCTATATGGAACTTGAGAGGTTTTGCTTTTATATTTTTCCAGAATTTCCAGATGTTTGGCAGCCTGACTGGGACCACTTTTGTATAATACATCCCGCTGGACTGCCCTATATTTGGAAAATCTGGATGCTTCTAAAATAAGTGCAGATCCTTTTGAAGAAAGTCTGTAGTGCATCAGGGAAGTGTGTGATGAACTTGCAGTGCATTCTGAAGTCAGCTTCAGTGCATGCATCATGATGCATCCTGAAGCGTTACATTTAACTGCTTAGTGGGCTCTAGAGCATCTGGAATACAACAAACAGAAATCCAGATATCCCAGAGGTACCGCAGTGATACCTGTGCATTTACACTTTATATTCAGGGGACAGGACTTCAGCCCTGCAATCTCTCTCCTGCATCCTTCCACCAATTCATCCACTTCTCAGTCTCTTTTCTGCTTTTCTTTTTCTCTTGCTGTCATCTTCTGTGACACCACCGCCACCTGTGCTCCCCAAGTTAGCATCCTGATTCCTTTCCTCAACCACACGGCTTTCTTACCGCTTCTACACTGCCTCTCTCTAGCATGAGGACCTGCAATCCTGTCCGTACAGTCTCCCAGCTTCTCTTACGTTCTTAATGTGTACCCTTACTTATGTATGAACATCCCTTTCATCAACCTTGTTAAGAGCCAGGATAATTGCAAAGAACTTGATAGGAACTCTTAAATGTTGCCTTCTGTGCCCTGCACAGAGGCGTACAGAGATGCTGCTCTGTGCCCTTCACAGGGACTCAAACCTTACAATGCCTGTGGGAAGCAGAGTCAGATACAGAAAGTGTACACTTAGTAAAACTGTGTGAATTAGCCTTTTTATTTACTTAAGTAAAACTGGATAGCTACTGGTGAAACTCCATGCTGTTTAACATCTAATCTTATTATAAGATTAGGAGAGTGTTTGAATGGTACATATTGTTAATGAGTTGAATTAAAATATTTTGCAAATGAAAAGTTGTTAAAGCCAGCTCACTTGATTGTGGTGTTTTCCACTTTTCCAGGCTTTATAGGGAAAAACTACGGGAGTATCAATTTAAGCGACTGAAATACTTCTATGCAGTTGTAGAATGTGATTCTCCTGAAACAGCCAATAAAATTTATGAGGAGTGTGATGGACTGGAATTTGAAAGTAGCTGTTCTTTTATAGACCTGAGGTAACTCCAGTGGTGACTTTTTAACATGTTGGGCTGGGGAAGGGAGGGAGAATTAAAGCCAATTTAAAATAATTTGGAGTAAACTATATTGGTTTTATTCTGTAACCAAAATGAGATATGTAACTAAATAGGCATCCAGTGAGTTGTTAGATTTCGCTTTGATTATTTTTTCTTCTTTTTGAGCATTTTTACTGGAATATGGAAAGTTTGAGAAGATCTCTGCATAGAGAGATTGTTCTCACAGAGGTCAGGTAAAATGTTCTGGTTGCATCTTCAACCTTTTGGTACAATTAAGTAAAGTGGTAGGAGTTAGAAAACACAATAACATACTACTGCTGCTTTTTTTTTTTTTTTCCTTTTTCTTTTCTTTCCCCAGGGGTCCAGAAGTGGCTCTTTGTCAGGATTGCTTACCACAGGGCAAGAATATTGCTGCTGTTGTCATGAAGCTGCAATAGATTACTATGCTAGCCCTTGTGAATGAACTGGAAGCTCTAATATTTGAAAAGTCATGTTTGGGAAAGAAAGATTTTTAAATTCTAGTTGTGCTTTATTGTTAGTGTTTCCTTTTGTTATTAAAAAGCTTTATAGTCTGAGTAGAAGAGAGGTTACTAAATCATAATAAGTTTTGACAGAAGCTGGCTTTGCTGGGGCCAGTGTTATAGGCACTCTTGGAAGTCAGTGAAAGATAAGTTTTTTGCTTTGAATTATTTTCTAGAGGAACTTAGTTCATTTGCTTTGGGCCACTTTGGAGGAGGAGATCTCTGCCAAATAAGCATGTAACTTTTCATGCTTTTAAACATAGAAAGATAACGTTTTACAACAGACACAGCTGTTTAAAGTTCTCCAATGCTTTTCCTAATCTTCTACTTTGTTAAATTTTAATGTTGTATTAATCAGATTATATTTACAGTAATTTAAAAAAAAGCCCAAGTAATTTCTTGTGTAGCGTACAAAGGGTTGTTTTTTTAATCTAACTTCTTCCGTTGTTACCATGACTTCAGTCTCTTTAACATTTTTTTTTTTGGTACTAATTGTATTGTTAAAGATGTACTAGGCTTTCCTAAAATATTTTTAATTTTTTTATTTATCTGTTTCCAAATTCTATTTTAGTCACTTTTTTTCTTTTGAATTTTTAATATTAAGCTTCCTGAAAAGAAGATTCTTAAAACAAACTAAAATACCCCAAAACCCACCCCTGACCCTGCTAATACCAGACTGAAAGTTGTTTAGTTTACTTCCCCAACATGGTGGCGTTCTGCATTGAAAACCTGTGGAATAGCTGTGCAGAAGCCAGACAGTTAATCTTACATGTGTGGAGTACTTGTCCATTTCTTTTGTTTCCTTTTCAAGCTTACCAACTTTTTATTTTAGCAAATTCTTTTGTGCTGATGTACCATACTCATGAAAAGCTTAGACTGTTTATACTATGAAATTTCTCAGTGTATTTGAATAATAACATGTTTTATTTGCCTTTGAGATTTATTCCAGATAACGTTACATTTGATGATAAGCCAAAAGATGTAGCCTCAGAAGTGAACATAGCTGTATATAAGCCAAAGTACTTCACATCTGCTGCTATGGGAACATCAAAGGTATCTTTACAGTGTTTTTATAATGTTTTTCTAATTTGTTTAGTTTTATTGTCAGCTTATAAATTATTTAAGTAGTGGAGAAAAGATTCCTGATTATCTTCACGATTTCAAAATAAAGACATCGAACATACAAAAAGATGTAAGCATGTTACGGAGCCACAAGTTGCAACCCTATAAATAAGCTCGAGTTTTGGATTTTAAAAGAGATTGGGCTTCTTTGCTACAAATTAAATACAACATTTTGACCTCATTGTACCTCTGTTACAAGTTGCAAATGGAATTACTTTGTTATTCACAGTTAAATCTTCTAATTTGCCTAAAACGGATATTAGTACGTAGCTCAATAAGAGCCCTTTTGGTGGTAGTGCTAGGCTTGAACGATTGGTTCCCCTCCTTGTTGCTCTTCATTCCTAATCTGTCTTATGTGACAGCCAAAACTCCCATCTAGCCCTGAAGTGAACTGGGCTGGAGAAATGATTAGTTCAGAAATGAGTAATTTCTACTGGGTTATTTTTTAGTCAGATCTGTTTCACCTTCTGGTTGAGGGTGCAGTTGCGCAAACACTTTCATTGTCCCCATTGCAATCCATTCGTGATTCCAGGAATGAGTTGCTGCTGCAAGAGGAAAGGAGAGGAGTTGGTGGCTGCTTCAACACCAGTATCTGCTGCCACAAAGGAAATTGGGCTTGCAGAGATTTTTGTTGTGTGACCTGCTGCTACAGAACTCTTCAGTGCATGAGGAGACTTCTTCATTCTTTCATGTAGTTAAAACTCCTTGAAACTCATTGTAGAACAAATTTCAAAAAGTTGTAATTAAATTTTAGTAAATGGTTATTATAGCTAATTGTAGAGAACAGTAGTAACAGGTTTACATTTGCTTCTTAAGTGGAAGGTATCGAATAATTTTCCCTAAAAGGACAGAGTTACAATGTTTAATTTTAGTGTTTCAGCTTCTACAAGTGGCATTCTTGTTTTTAAGGTAGATATCACGTGGGATGAGACAGATCATGAACGAGTAATGTCACTTAGCAGAACTTTTAAAAAAGAGGAACTTCTTGACATGGATTTTCAAGCTTATTTGGCTTCGTCTAGTGAAGAAGAGGAAGAACAGCAGCAAGGTACTTACGTTAATAAATGATGTCTACAAAGTCATTAGTTACAGTGTTTTGAACAAAAGTTATTTAAATATATAAATTCCATATCTTTAGAATGTCATCTTTTACAGGGATGATATTATGCATGTATGAAAGCTGTGGTCAGGTTCTACTATGAAAATCACCTACCTTTCCTTCAGAGCTAACCATCTCCAAAAGTGGCATATACTTTCTTTTTGTGTGTGAGACCTAAAGGCGGAGGGAAGTTAGTGGTGAGCATGTTGGTATTTTTTGTTCACTCTTTTCAATTAGGAAATAAATAGATTGATGACAGAACATTGACAGATGCTAAAAAAATTTTAAGTTATGCATGTTAACATGGAAGTTGTAGAGTTCTTTAAATTTACTGGAACTTGACATTACTTCTTTGTTTGTTTGAGTTAAATATACTTCTCCAGTGTTCTTTATACCTGCTAAGAAAACACATGTACAAGTTTTCAAAATGGTATCTCTAAAGCCACAGTTGAGATTGATTATGCAAACCTGATTTTGGTTCTCCAGATAAATAATATCACTAGTATGACCCTAAAATTACTACATTCTCTTTGAAGACAAAGTACATTAGCTGAATTTGGAGTTACAGCTTGCTTAGAAGATTTGTCAGTGAGAGTTTGACTTAAGTATTATCACCCTAGCTTTAAAACACCTTACTGGTTTTCATTTCTGTACTGCAAAATCTCTTTACGTGGTGTAACTCATGTTTGATTAAACCAAGTATAATGATTATAATTCGAGTGATTTCAAGTAGCAAGATCACAGGTGATTCAAATAGTGGCATATTTTCTTTATTGCTGATATGACAAATCTGTTAAAGAAAAGTTGCTTTTCATCATACATTTGAATGATTTATGTCGAGAATGTGGTAGCTATTCTGTTCATTCAGTGCTGAATGAAGATCCGCTGCCTTTCGGTGGAGTAACACTGATCAAAAATTACCAAATAGTGGGTGATTAGGAGGTGTCCTAATGATTGAGCCCCTGAATAGCTGCTTTCTCAATAGGAGCTTGCACCTCTTGAGTGTAAAATAATTTTCTTCTCTTTTTTTTTTTTTCTTTTTTTCTTTTCTCCTACCCCTCTCTTTTTTTCAGGGTACCTTAACATTTCTTTGTCAAGTTTGGCAACACCTACTTTAATCTCTTCGTTTCTGAGATTAAATTATTTTCAATAGAACTGGAGTTGCTTCCTTTTCAGGGGAAGAGTCCTAGTTTGAAATGTGAAGTGGTTAGTGACTAAATGAATTGGGTACAGTGCTCACTGCGGAAATCTATTTATAGGTTAATGTAGTGTTTTGTCCTCTTCATGGTCCTCTATACACATACTGAAGTCTCTGCACGGCAAGGAGATATTGAAGATGCTGCCCTAAGACTGTTGGAGTGGCCTAGGCAGGGTGTTGAATGCACTCCAGACCTTAGAAGGTCCTGAGGGAGATGTAGGTTGTACAGAGCTGCTTCACTACAGCAGTAGCTCTTCTTGTGTAACCAGGGGGATGTGAATGGCAGTGGAGAAAAGCTGTGCTATGGGCCTTCTGCGACTCCTAAGCTATACGTCTTAAGTAGTGAGGGGAAAGGTAAGCAGCAGAACATACTTAAGGGAACTTTAGAGCGTAGTAGTAACATCTTTCAAATGCTTTTTGATTCATGTGCTTCTCAAAATACAAAGACAATGTCATCTAACTTTGTAAGGTATGTAAATCTTCTGTATATGGTGCACCAACACGTAAATTCCTGAATTACCTTCCTTGTTTTCACTCTAAAATTCAGTCTGCTCTTACTAATATATATAGCCTATTACAAGGCAAGGAAAATGTCATTAAGCCTTAATTAGGTCTTTCAAACAGATGTTAAAATTGATTTATGCTGCATTAAAGCAGGTTGTTGCAATCAGAGATGAATTCGGAGCATACAAAGAACATGACGGATTTTTCTGGTTATAGAGTTGGGAAATCTTTTGGCAGCAAACTCAGCTTGGCAATATCTTACAGGGTTAATGTCCATTTGTTTCTCATCTTACATAAAAAGGCACTTAAAAACTGCACCTCTGAGCTTTAGTTTCTCTAGTAAGGCATAGTAAAGTATCTAAATGGGAGCAGTAGATGCAGAGGAAAGCATTTCCATCTTACTATTAAGTACAAGACTGCTGCTATGTTAAAGAATCGCATCCGTGATAGGGTGGTGATGAAAGCTAACGTCTATAAGTGGGCAACACTTCAGAAATTTTGAAAAGTAAACTTCTGTTGCTAGGAATGAAAAGAAATTGACCTTAAGTAGTCTTATCACACTAATAAATTTTAAAGCTGGAAATGTCTAGATTCTAATGATGTTTTGAAAAGTAAATTATTAATAGAGGAATTCTGTTGCCATGTCTTTAACATGTTCCTGACCTTTTATCCATTCAGTTATGTGATACAAAACAGGATTCCATCCGACAGGATTCCATCCAGTAGAATTATGTGGCACTGTGCACAAATGGGAAAAATCAATGTCAGCTGCTTGAATGGAAATGCAGAGTGTGATAAGAAGGAAAAAAATGCCCTGGACCTCTATTCATATTTTTTTAACTTATTAAAATGTTTTATTTATAAACAGGGTTTTGTTGGCCTGTTCTAATCTGTTTCTCATGGTATTTTTCAACTTAAAATATGTGTGTCATGAATGTTAGTATTACTGTTATACAACAGTTTCGTAATGTCAAGTATTTCAGTGACCTGGTATGTTGTGGTTCACAGCGCAAAGTATCTCCTTTATGTTGCTTCTGAATTTTCTGTTACTTGGATGCATTTGTTCCAGTTAGGAACCTTTTGTGGTATGTGTCAAATCCAGCCCATAATTTCTATTTTGACCATGAGCACCAGTGACTTAGTGTATGGCATTTTAAATGATGCTTCAAATTAAGCATTATGGCTTTTATGCCTAAGCTTTTGTTCTGTTTAATCTTTGCAAGATCAACATCTTTTCTGCTGTTCTGCTTTGCACAGCCACACAGAATGACAGAATGCCTGAATAACTAACTATATGACAAAATACTTTTATCAGTGTATTTTTATTTAGCTGTTCCTGATGGTATAATCACAGAATATCTTGAGTTGGAAGGGACCCACGAGGATCATTGAGCACAAGTCCTGACTCCGCACAGGACAACCTATAAGTCAAACCATATATCTAAGAGTTGTCCAAACAATTCTTGGACACTGACAGACTTGTATGGAGCTCTCCGTAGAACCGTGTTCTCCACAGGAGGAATTTGAACAGGGAGCACAGTCCCTTGTTGTATTGGGCTTCCAATACAAGACTCTGGAAAGACAGTAGATGTTTTGTTCTGTGCTGCTGCACCAGTGCCGGAGTTGTACAAGTACAGAGAAAGAAAATGTAGTTGTTGGGAAGGAGGAGTTGCTGGCTGGAGTTTTACTTTTTTTAATAATGCTGCTAATCTTATTTGTAGTGATTAATGTTAAATAAAATCAGACCACTTATTAAATATTTTTATGATTTTTTAATCAATTTGGGCACAACAACTATGACTATCTATATAAATTTAAATGCACCTTTAAGATTTTATCACATGACAGTACAGTCCTCCTTGCTGTTTTAAAAATGAACAGTATTCATATGTGTTTATATTTGCTAGAACTATTAAGGCAGGCTAAGAAGTGGAAGGTGAGAGAAGCAGAAGATGCAATTATTTAATATTGTCCCTGAATCCAATGGGTGTTTATAAAATGCATTGAACAGGATATTATTTGGCTTGGCTTCTGTCCCTTATTCCTCTGTAGCTTCTTTGGGTGCTCTTAGGCGTTACTGCTGCTTCAACAGTAACAAGGATCTGACTTTTTATATTTCTGTTGGGTTAGTTTTGGCATATTGCTAAAATACGTCCTAAGGAAATAAGCTAGCAAGAGGAGTTAGCAGTTTATGATTTAGCCAAACTTGTGTGGAATTTCACGGGACAGAATAAAACTACCACAACCTGGTTATTTTCTTTCTGTGAAGCATCAGGAGCTTGATACAACTGACACAGGTGTTGGAGACTTTTCCAAAGCATGTTTGCAGGAGCTTTTGTGTTGGGTTGGGTGTAATAAAAACCAAAAGGTGCTTGGAAGGCCAGGAACAAGGGTCATCTCAGCTTTCCTTCTAAAAAGTTCAAACGAGCTGTTGGAGGTGTCCAGTAACTTAGAACTGAGGAACACATCTGTGTCTGCTTTTGCAGGCCAGTGTGTCCATATTCAGAAATGACTAGGCAGGGTCCAGCTCCGATTGCCAGCACGTTAATCTTGGCTTACATCTGACTGGCTCAGAAGCATGGCTCTAGGAATGTCCAGTCACCTTTCATGCACAGCCAGGTGCTTAAAGGCTGCAAAAGAAGCCAGAATGTAATGCTTACCATTCACTTATTCTTAATCTGTCTGTTTGAATTCTCTTATTTCAGTATCTGTCTTCTCCCTGAAACATATTTTACAAAAAGATGTCTACTGTGATACCCTTTGAAAAAGCTTATTTTGATTACTGTGAATTCTAAATTTGTCCTTTTTTATTATCATTTGGATGAACTAATAGGATTTGCACAACTTCTTGTTCAGAGTCTGCTGAGAATGTGGGAAAGTGGGGTTAAAACCCAGAGTGTTTTGTCACTATTTTCTGGCTCAAGACTAAAGTCAGTGCAATAACCTCTACCTCTTACTTGCTTCTTGAACAATGGAGTATAGAGCTTTTTATCTTTCATTCTACAGATCTGCGTGCATTGTAGGGGTTTTTTGTGTGTTGCCTGAATTTGAGTAACTACCCTGGATAGAATTGAGACATGTTTAGTGCATTTTTATGGTATGGCCATCAGCGTCCAGATCAGTAGCTGAATTTTCTAGTGTGCTGTTACATTGTGAGGGGCAATTTTGTCTTTCCATGTTTAAAAGAAACGCAGTTTTACAGCAGACCTCTTGTCAAATGCTGTGTCTGCTATAATTTTTCTACTCTCTTTAGTTTGTAAAGCTGAGTTAAAACAAAAAAAAATAAAAAAAAATCATCTACTCAGCCATTGCAGGATAATCTTCTTAAACTAAGAATATGTCTTCAAAACACCGTAATTACAAGAACGTGATCTCAGCTAACACAGCTGCCAATCAGCAATGTAGTATATTGAGCCTCTACATTTGTTTATATTTGATGAATTACAGCTTTTAAAAACAAACAATCCCTACAAACTGTTGTATCAGAATGTTTCTGACCTGCCTCAGGATTTTAACTTTTTCCTTCTTAATTCTTTTAGCACTTCTGTTATTACTCTCCTTTGAAAACATTAAGAATATGCTTGTTTCTTATACTGTAAACTTCATCAGCTTTTGTCTTTTTTTCCTTCACAATTTAAGCTTTTTTGTCTTAATTGTATTTCTCTTGTAGTGCAGCTGTTAATGCACCAGAACTTTTTGTTCTCTTTGTGTGTTTTGTTCAGAAAGTCTTTGAACAAGCAATTACTGCCTTAATATTTGTCAGAAAGTGGTTCCTCATGTTGTGCAATTCAGCGTGATACTTGAAAGCTAGTGACAAGGATATTTGAACTCTGAACAAACTTTGAGAACGTATTCAGCTCATTTTCCTTTCTTACAGCTGCTGTCAAGTGTTCTTTATTTGCTTACAGAATGAAAAGGCTCTTAAGGGTTTTTTGAAGATAATGTTGAACATTTGACAAAAAAATATTTTTTTATCTAAATGAGAAAATATGATAATATGCATTTCCACTTAAATTTCTCCTACCAAAATTAGCAAAACCAGTCATAAATACAAATCAGTAGCCCTTACTTATCCAGGTCACATCCAGCATAGCTTTACTTCTCATTTCACGTGATACCAGGAAGAAGAAACAACAAAATGGCTTATTTTTCTTCTTGGTCTTCAAAACCGAATGCCTTTTGCTTGCTGCATGAGCAAATGCTTTCCTCTTAGGAGATCCCAGCTACTGATGAGGGAAGTGAAAAATCAGTTGCAGTTAACTGAACAGTAACGATTTCTGCTCCTAGCCAACAACTAGCTTCTTGCGGTGATGGGATGTGGAAGAGAACAATGTCGCACCTAAGTTTTAGCCAAAGACCAGAGGTCACTCTGTTAACTTGCAACTGCCATCTGTCTTTCTAGACACCAGTTATGCTCTCCATGCCACTTGGTACTGTAGGAAGCACGGCTTTACTGCTAATTTAGAGAGAAAAAAAAAAAAGGAACCTGTCCCAAACCTAGTTTTCTACAGTTCAAGGAGCTACCGCATCTTTAAAACCTTAAAAGCCTGTTCTCTGAAACAATTTTTAAAAAGCTTAATGTAAGTCACATTGTAATTGTGTTTTTCTGGAGGAAAAAAAAAGGAAAGAAAAAACCCATCTTTCCATCTGGCTTCATTTGTTAATTCAGCAAGTCACTGAAGATTAAGGCATTGAATAATTATCTCTCTTACAGAGTCTTGCAAGGTTTGTTAAAATATAGCACTGTAGTTTCAAAATGCTTTACACAACTGTTTTTTGAGATTTAGGTACTACTCTGCTGTAAGGGACTCTGAAAGTAACAATTTTTAAAAGCAGTGAAGGATGATGTGTCTGATCAGTGATTTCGTTTGCTGGAGAAATTTTCTTTTGTCTTTTCAGATATTATTCTTATTTCATGTAAGAATGGTGATTCTAAAACTGGTTACTCTTTGGGGGAATAATAGATGAAAATATTTTAGATTTTTTTGTTAGAAACAATGTTTGTGCCTTAGATGTGTTTCCTAAGCATTAACTTCAGCTGATCACTTTCTAGAGGCTGGCTGTGGTAGCTTTACTCTCTCTTTCTAGGTAGTGATGGAGCTCATGAAATGGAAGATGACAAACGCAAAAAAAGCCAGAAAGATGATGAAGAGCAAATTGCCAAGTACAGAGAACTTTTGCAAAGTATCCAAGAAAAAGAGAAAAAACAGGAAGAAAAGGATATAGGAATGGAGATTAAATGGGTTCCAGGTAAGCTTTTTTTTTTCTTTTACTAACTTGGAGGATATGCAGTATTGGCCTGCTAATAGGGATATAGTGTAAGGTGTTGGATTTATAGTAGTAGAAACTGACCTTTTTTTTCCATAAATTGAAATCCAGATGGATTACAATGAGGGAAATAAAAGAAATGATATGACTGAACTCAGTTCCTCAGCTGTAAGCTTCTCTTTGTAGCTTTTTTTTTGCCAGTTTTTTCGTGCGTGCTTTTTCATTCATCACTTCATAGATTTTCTTGAATAGAATTCATGTGTTTGCCATAGAGTCATAAAATGTACCTACACTTTTAAAAAGGAAAACTAGTATGATTTGGAAGCATAGCATAAAATTAGAGGAGAATGGTTTTAACATCTTGCTTGCATAATGCTGAAGATTTGAGGGAACAGAGAATCCTGACCTTCCCACAGAACAGTCTCACTGGAAAGAAAGCTACCAGGAAGAAATCCCGGCTACCAAGGATATTCGGTTTTATTTAGTGACATCCAGATTTTCATGTGGAAATTAAAAAAGATAACTTCATGATATAGCATCCCAGCAGAACTTATCCTGAGATCTGAAAAGCAATGTCTGGTTTTTTTCCTTTATGATGAAAAGACAGTCAAACTGATTTTTATTTTTTTTTCTTAAATATTTTGTTTATGTGTGTGTGCTTTCCCTGAGATGTAATGAGCCAGTTTAACAACTCGCTACATCCACAAAGGGAAAGGTGTTCACTGTGCCCTTTCCTCCTTCATCCTGGCCCAGAGCTCATTGTGACTGCCTGTACCAGCCCTGGCACTTGTTAGATCTCTTTGCGAATTGAATTTTGTTTGCTAAAATGACAGAACTACTCTGGAAAAGAAGAAAAAAATCTGCATCTTTTCCACTTAGTTAGCAAGTTGGATAGGCAAATGGAGGTATTTGGTGAATGCTCAGAGGGTTGAATTATGCAGTCCAAAGGCTAGGGAAGTGTGGCGTTACCTTTTCGGGGGCAGCAAGGTGCTGTATTGGCTCAGTAGGTGTAGGACTGCAGGCTGTGTAAGGACACAGCCAGATCAGTTACTGTAAATACCGAGACCAGACATACTAGAATCCAGCCTCTTCACCATTGATGTGTTAATTCCAGCTGGGAATGCATGTCTCATTGTGTGATTTACACTAATATTATTCTGAATTCACTCAGGTAAGTTCTGTTGAATATAAATGCTTGCTTTTTAAATCTTGTTTTAGTACTGATTCACTGAAATTGATTGAACTGAATGGAATAGTTTTATTCCTAGTTCTTGGTAAGTTCTGTATTCGAAAGTATACACTGGTATTAAAAATCGTTGTGTGTTTTCAGTGCTGCTTATACAAATCGAACCGTTTCTGGCATGAATTCTCCCAAAACTCTTTCTCTAAAGCAGGTATCGGGTGTGACAGGACAAGTGCTTGCTAACACAGCTGTGTCGTCATGTCTTACTGCATCTGTCCGCGGTGTGTCACTATCGGCATTCTTGATGTTGCTCCTTTAGCCGCTTTAATCGTTGTGTCACTGAGCATTCCAGACAAATGAGTTTTCATACATAGGTAGCTCTTATAAGATTTTTACAAAGATTTGTTGTTGCCACCTTTCAGACTGAAGGTGGAAACCACAGTTGAAACAATTGCTGCTAAGAATGTGTTCTGTATTTATATAGGCCAGGCATTATTTAAACAGTTAGAAAGGCTACCATTTTTTGTGTTGGCTTGGAAAACACATTTGAGTTTGGTTTTTTTTGCTTGTTATACAGTCTGTCTTCCGAAGAACCTTGCAAATTGTATGAATGAAGTTCTGTAAATGAAAAAAGTCTAAGCAACATAGGAATCTAGAGCAAACCATTCATTGGAGGAGATGGAAAGGTGTTTTCAGAGACACTAAAGGAAATTCTCTTCAGTCTCTCTTGCACAGGGAGAGCAAGAAGTTTTCTGAAAGGCACTGCCTCTTAAAACTGTGCCTTGCGTGTTACAAGTAAATTATATTAACATTTAGGAAGTGTAGTAGAGATGGAATCCAGTTCCCTAATACACGAGCTCCTTGTTTCTTTGCAACTGAACTTGACTTTAGAAAGTTGGATTTGTTCCCTATTATATCTAGTCCAACCCATTCCTTACTGCACCTTGTTGCGGGGCTCCTAGGACTTTTGCTATAACCTCGTCTCTTTTGAGGGAGAGATGAAAAAAAAAAATAAACCGCAAAAAAAAACCCAAACCACCCTATCCTGATAAATATGACTGACTTTGTCCAGAGTCAGTTGGATGACAGTGCGTTGGGTCAGATTTGGTCATATAATGATGGGTTGAATGTGTATGTGTGCACAACAAAGTTTACATTAGTAGTTTATAGTATTTGATGTCAGTTTAGCAACTGTGATTTTGCAGTATTTGTTAGTGTTTCCTCCTTTCTTATCCCGAAACAGTTAGAGTATTATCAAAGAGCAGAGGTTCTGGAAATCATGGAAGTGTTCGCTGGCCTTTGCTAGTTAGACTATTCACCTCCATGAGGTCAGTCAATACCACTACTAACTATTAGCCCCTGCAATATGGTTTGTCCAAAACAAAAGTCCTAAAAGTGGAGTGTCTTAAGTTTGCTTTCAAGTCTAATGTATGAGAACGCTTTAGCTGTTACTAATTTCAGGCAGCATTTGGAGAGAACTTGCACACCTGAAAGGGAGATTTTGTTTGTTTGTTTGTTTTTTATGGGGGAGCATAGTCAGCACATGCTGAACAGTAGTTTATAGCTCTGACAATATGTAGACAGTTGAGGCTGTGCTTTCTTACGATAGAGAGGTACATCAGTTATTATGTTGTTTTTTCTTGAACAAATGTGCTTATTTAAATTCTAAAATTTAATTATGTTCAGTTGGAGCATTCTGGGAATTCAAAAATAGTTTTTGTTATAATCTCTTAAGACTCCTTAATTTTTTTCAGAACAAGTTTGTCTGTTGAAATATTTTTATTATCAAGCTCTGCTTTAATCTGCTTGACTTATTGCAAAAATCTTTTTCCTGCCCAAATGCTTAACATACAGAGTGTTACAACAGTTAAATCTAGGAAGCTTTTCAATTGAAAGGCAGAGATTTGAATTAATTTAAAAATTGGAGTTTTGGCACAAATATTTACACATGGTTATAGAAAGCATACTTTGTGAATGATTCAGTTATTCTTGAATCATAATAGTTTCAAATAAACCGCAGTGCCAGCAAAAATAAATTAGATGTAGTTCCAGCTCTCTTTGGTCTGTTTCTTTGAGGCACAAAATCAGTGTTATATTTAAGCATCCATCTGTTTTCTTAATCATATCTGATTTGAGCAGCAATTACTATGCATCCTTATCCAGCTCCCAAAGCTCCCTTTAGAAGGTGAAGAGCGAGGAGACCACAACTGCATTTCTTGATGCTATTCAGCCAGTTTTTCATACAGGTTTTTTTTTTTTTATTGGACTTAAAAATTCTTCCTCTGGGAAGAATGAGATGTAAATATTTAGCTAGGCTTAAAGGAAAATTTAAAATTTGTTTTCATCAGAAGTAGAATAGCAGGCAATCATGTCTCTGTAAAGTGCATAGTAAACCCCAAGTGTATGTTGTTACAGATTATATGGAGCACAAAAATGCTCATATGGAACATATGTCTCAATGTATGTCATTGCTTAGCGTGTCCTCTGACTGCAGCGGTTTTACCTCTTGCAGCACGAAGCAGTGTGTGCTCAGCTGTGCAGGGGCTCATCAGAACTGTAGTTCTTCACACTTGACATCTGAGCTGCTAAGTGTGGCGGGTTTTTTTTCAGGCAGTTATACTACATTAGGAAAACTTTCTTAAGATGTCCTGTCTTCAGGGGTGACAAATTCTAATGTTATCAGAGTATTTCTGTCTGCCATTTCTTTTAGCTACCTGCAACAAGGTGTTTCTTTTTGCTGGTAAGACATTGCATGCAAGATGAACTTGCTTGTTAGATTTCCTGAGAACAGAGAAATATCTTCTTAGATTCTAATATTTGTGACAGTTGCATGCTGTTAAACTTCCAGAAGTTTTCAAACCTAAGCATTTAGAAAAGTAAAAATTCTGGCCTGCGCACCCTCCCTCATGCTCCCACCAGTGTAAGAAGCAATATAATTAGGTTTGTTGTAGTATTTATCATGCTTTTAATCCTTTAGCTCAGGTATGATTTTGTTGTATGCTAATATAGATGACCTTTTGCCCCTCTATTCTTGGCCTTCATTTGTGAAGACTAAATAAAACCAGTGTGATTAATTTATTCTAAAAAAATTTATATCGATAAGGGTATAAATTAGCCTTTTCTATGGCCAGTTAATAATTCTACCTAAAGTAGACAATTCCTTTCCCCTTCTGCAATCAAAAGCCTTTTGACCACTTAAATACACTCTTAGTCTCGGGAAGTGGTCTGGACAGTAGTTCCTAAGTCATTCTAATCTGTGGAGAAACTCTAATGCCTTTCATGAGACTGCCAAATACCACAAGAAAGGGCTGTATTTTCCTCCAAGTCCTTCTGTGCCAGATGGATCAAATGATGCCATTTTCCAGGCAAATAAATCAGAAATCTTGTAACCTCCTTTGAGATTTTGGGTCTCTCTTTTTCTGGAGATGTGACATACATTTTTTAATCCAGTATTTACTATCTTCAGAGAGAATTTGCAAGGTTGCTACCTGACCAGTAATTTTTTCCACAGAAGTACTGAAAATAATACCCAAAGTAATAGTAGTTCAGTTTCTGGGAAGCTCATGACTCTGCTTTCATTGACTTTGGAGATGAAGAGGTGTACATTTGGAAATAACTAAATATTTGTTCTTGTTGTATGAGAGGGTTTTTTAGTGGCACGTTTTTAGTGAACCTATACAATATCCATCCTTTATTGTGGCTCTGCATTTGTTTGCTGGTTTAGTACCCGATTTTTGTGGCTGTAACAGTTTGCCACTTACCATTAATTCTGGCTTCTTTCCAGGATAGTAGAGGAATGCTTTATCTTTTTTTTGCTCCACGCTTTTCTTCCTATAAGGCATGGTTTAATACGATTTTAGATCTTGTCCACACTTCATGTTTCAGACATGTTGTAACCAGCTCTCCAGCCCTTGAATTATTTTTGGAGTGTCGACAAGCACAAGAACAGGAATTGGTGTTCACAGTTTTTCAGAAAAATGTTCTGTCTGCTTTTCTGAGGATGGGTAGAAACGTCCGTGAAAGCTGCCCATTTTTTCCATTATGAACTCTGTTTTCAGTTCCTCGTTACTGAGGAGAGCTGGAAGGAATGATGAGGAGCAGGGACTGGCCAACTGAGAAACCTGGGAGTTGGGAGAAAGAATGGGATCTAGCCTAGGACATCTGGTGAGGTCCGGGTATGACTTCCAAGCAATAAAACTGGTAGAAAGGGCAGAAGAGTAGGATTTGGTTAGGTGAGGGCTGGACTGGGATGGTAAGAAAGGGATGCTGAAGAGAGACAGTTAGAACAAGTAGAATTGGAGAAGAGATGGCAGATATCAGCCTTAGAACTTGGGAGCATGTAGGAATCATGCTTCTGCTTCCCCATCCATCAGTCATATCGTAAAAGAGGATGTTAACAAATGAGTCAGATATCCTATAGTTATGGAAGTTAAAAAGAAAAAAAAGTGAGTAATGAATGAAGCAAGGAATTGCAGGCAGGAGAAAAATACTTCATTGCTCAGGCAGTTGTCTCCTGCCAGGGAAGTGGATTCTGTCTTTCTGTCACTGAATTCTGCTCCAGTGTGTTGCAAGGCAAGTCAGTTAATCTCTTTACATCGAGAAATTTTGGTTTTGCAAGTGCCCGTCTTGTGAAGATGGGGTTGAAAGCGTATAAGCTGCATCTGAAATCAGCATTTGTCCTCATAACATGCAAATGCTGTGTGATGTAAAGACTTTTGAAAAAGTGTTCCTGAAATGTATGGAATTTTTCACCAAAAAATGAAGATTGCTTTTAAATAAAGTGTTTATTCTGGATTTAAATATTCTAGATGTCAGATGGGGATGCTCCAGTTAGTTAATGGATTCTTTTTTGATGTGATGTTTTTGCACCATTGAATACTGTAATGGTACATACCATAGAAAACTCCATTCTGTTTCTAGAGTAGGGTTCAATTATGTTTGATAATTTTGCTGTACATTATTGGGTTCAGTAACTTAGCTATACATTGAACAGTAACACAAAACATTGAGTAGTTACATGTTCATGATCTGTAGATCAAACAGTTAAGATCATCTGGAAAAGGTAAACTATGATCCTGTGATGAGAAGCTGTCAGAATGCATGTTTACAAAAAGGCTAAATTAAAGGTTAGGACATACTTGTGCATACAGCTTCAAGTGCTAGGCATTGAACCAGTGGCAGTCTGTGCTAAATTATGCAATTTAATGTAAACCTAATTAACACATCCAGACTTAACTGTCTGATCTTGTTAGACGAGAATTATTTAGAGCCAGATATGTTGCACTTCTATGGGGTTTACTTTTCTAGGACCCTTGGAAAACTGTCGTGCTCTGAAAGTAGAGCAAACTTCCTTCAGCAAAGTATGTAGCCGCCTTTCCCAGCTGTTGGCAGGTCAGGAAACACAAACTTGAGGGCTTCTCTTACACCATACCCGTAACAAAAGGATATGGAAGAGGTGCAGGGCTGAGTTAATGGTCTAATAGTTACAGTTCCTCACTGCATCTGGTGAGAGAATGGTACTCTTCTCCTTCAATCTTTCAGTTCACATAGCTGTCAAGTACAAAAATTACTTTTGGTAATTACTTGATGTGCTAACCAAATAAGAGGATGGTTTCTTTCTCTTGCTGCTTTTTTTTTTTTTTCATCTTGAGTTGTTACAATTTGAACTGGTACTCAGTGATAACAGAAAACATTCTTTCAAAATTTTTGTTTGTTTGTTTGTTTGAGAGGCTGATATGTTTCAAGCAGTCTATGCCCTTAATCTCTGTTTCTTGTTAAAAAATCAATTTATTTTTTTTTAAAATAAGCTATTTACCTTAAGCATTGAATCTGAATCTAGGTTTACTCTCATACTGGCTGTGTACTGTTTTTTAATTTTAGATAGTTTTCTATAGTTAAAGCAGACTAGTACTAAGTAGCTTTAAAAGGCTAGATGACTTGAAAATAACTTGCCTAGTTTAACTTAATGCATGTCATATTTTGACATTAGTACATGATGCAAAACATTATTTGGGTTTTTTATTTATGTTTTTCTGTGCTTTCTAGCTGCAGATTTATTTTTACTTTAATTCAAATGATAGCTTATGGTTCTCTGTTACAATGATGGATGAAAAATACACTGGTCATCAGAGATACTGCAGCATTGTCATAGTATTATCACAGAGGCAAAGTTTCAGCAATGAAGATGCTATATAGAGCAACTTTATCATGTGAGTGAGGCATACTGATAGAGCAACAACCAGATAATGTCTCTGTGTGAAATGGAGAGCACCAGCTAGAGAGGGTCAAGCTAGCTGTGAGATGACCCTATATTCTGACAGTGATTTGACATTTCAGACTTGTTGTCAAGTCACTTCATCTTTTGGACTTTGTTTTGCCGTGCACAAAAAATGGGAACGACTGGACTGTATTCGAAGTGGTTTTGTGAATCTTAAATAATTATAGTAAGGTACATTAACTATAAGGGCTCTGTATATGTCTGTTGTTGTTATTTTTTATTGTGTTACCCTCATCCTTAAAGAGAGGCATCTGTAGACCACACAGTCTAATGGCTGGAGAGGAGACCTTTCTGAGGAATAGCAAGAGTGCTGGGAATCGGATCTCGCATAAGCAAGGTCCTCTTCTGACTCTTGTACAGTTTATTGCTGAAGGAATGTTTTATTTGGAAAAACATGTCCTGTAAAGTGATCTTAGTTATAAAGATGTTGTTTTAAGCAATATTTATGTTGTTTTCACAGACTCGTTACAGAAAAAACTAGATTATTCTTTTACAAAGGAGAAAACAGTTGATTTTAAAAAAAAATAAATTTCAGATTCATCTCATTTCTTTAACTTACAATTTTTTGTTCTAGGTCTCAAAGAAACTGCTGAAGAAATGGTCAAAAACAAGTTGGAAGGAAAGGATAATCTAACTCCATGGCAAAAATATCTAGAGAAGAAGAAAGAAAAAAGAATTCTTAAAAAAAAGAGAAAGGTAATGTTTGCATTGGCCACTTGGGGGGGAGTTATTCTTTGTTTGCTTTCTTAAGTTGCTGTTACTGTTTGTTGTGGATAAACTAAATAAAAAATTGTATAGCTTCCAGTACTATTTTAAGGTTAAAATGTGCAGTGGTCACTCACATGGAAAGACCGAGAGTGTCTCATCAAACTTACAGAGCAAAAGGGAAATTCAGGATACTACTGATCATACATACGGTTACACAAAATTTATTTATCTACTGGTATTGCTTTAAAGATAAATGAGTCATAATAACAGTTGGTTTTTAATTTACATTTTTTTAATGCATTAGGAAGGGTCTTTTTGCTGCTGTATGCATATCAGTTCAAAGTTGTTATGATAATGATAATTACAGTTTTGGAAATTTTTGGCCTAAAATAATACAGCTTGTTTCCCAAAGCTGTTAACAGCAAAGAATTAATAGCCACAAAGAACTACTCAAATTTCAAATTGCAAGAGCAAATTTGGTAAATAGTTCTGTGTATGAATAACAAAATGGTCCTATTGCAATGTGAAAATTGCTGTTGCTTCATTTTTCCACACGCAGAAAGTAATTGTGAAGTAACCGACTCCCATGGCAGTAATGTGCCGAAATAGGCAGATAATTGAAATATTTGTGCATATGCTAGGAAAAAAAGCATGTGGCATACAGAATCTAGCCTCCCTAAATTCTTAAATTATTCTGAATATGATTCATGTCGTGGAATAATGTTTTTAAGAGTAATCTCTACAACTGGAGTTATGTTGTGCATTCCAGTTAGTTTTAACTGGCATTTGATGAGTAACTTCTTAAATCTTACAGAAAATGCATTCTCTGAATAGAGTAAGTAGCACTGTTAGGTAGTAGAGCAAATTTTGCTAGCATAATATTCTTGTTTGGTCTGATAATTAAGTCAAGGGCAAGGTGTATGATACAATACTTCCAGTAATAAAATGTGGTTTTTTAAGTCCAAACTCAGTCCTTTTGAATTTCAGAGCACAAAATGAAGCTTATTGCTCAAGTTTTTCCCCAAGTCGAGTTTTTCTGGAACATAAAGTAAGGACAAAACAATGCTGTCATCCTTTAAGTTGTTGGTATGGTTAGCTAATGCATCACAGTGTGTGGGTACATCTAATAAAGATCCTTGGAATATATAAATAGCCCTTCTTCAAGTACACAAAAAACTTCCAATTTGTGAAACAGATTGTAAATTGTTGATTTGTCTTTACTAGCAATTTTTAGTGTATTCTAGTTTTCTTATGTTCAGCATATGGTATTTCAGTTTTCATCTTCATAGTTACTAACAGAAAGAGCATCTAATTCCAGTGAAACTTAAGTAGTAGTTTCTATGTTGATTGAAATAATGTTTGTGCTTTATTACAGGCTACTGCTGAGAGAGAAGAGAGTGAGGATGAACTTCCATCTGATGTTGATCTCAATGACCCATATTTTGCTGAAGAACTTGAGAAAACAGGTGGGTCAAGACTTCCGGAATAAATCTGCCTTTTCTTTAAATAATGAGCTTTAGAAACAAAGTCAGGCTAGAGTAAATGCAGCGATAGCATGTTCAGAATGAAATATAAGTAGATGTAATTTGCTTAAAATTGCAGGTGCTGTTCTTGTAAAATGATGCCTATTGTGATATGTGGAATGGTAGGGAACATTGTCCAGAGAAGAGAGACAAAGCTGGTGAAGGGCCTGGAGAAAAAGTCTTACGAGGAGTGGCTGAGGGAGCTGGGGTTGTTTAGTCTGGAGAAGAGGAGGCTGAGGGGAGACCTGATCGCCCTCTACAACGACCTGAAAGGAGGTTGTAGCGAGGCGGGGGTTGATCTCTTCTCCCCTTAAACTAGTGATAGGACAAGAGGAAGCGGTCTCAAGTTGCGCCAGGGGAGGTTCAGGCTCGACATTAGAAAGAACTTCTTCACTGTAAGAGTCATTAGGCATTGGAATGGGCTCCCCAGGGAGGTGGTGGAGTAACCATCCCTGGAGGTGTTCAAAAAACATTTAGATGTGGCGCCTCAAGACATGGTTTAGTGGGTTTAGCGGGCATGGTGGCATCGGGTATACGGTTGGACTTGATGATCTTTGAGGTCTCTTCCAACCATAATGATTCTATGATTCTATGATTCTCTTCGCTTTCATCAGAGACCATTATTTAGCCAATTTCTGGGCATGGCTGTTAGAAATAAGCTGACCATCTTCTCCCCTAAATATTCCAGAGAAAAGAACTTCATTGCCTTCGAAGCCTATTTCCTTTTAGACAGGAGGAGCGAGATATGTATGGGTCTCTTAGAAGTTTGCATCAATTACATAAATGTCAAACATTTTTGCATCAGAAACAAAGTTGTTTTTCAGAAGAAATCAATTTTATTTTCTCTTAATCTGATACATGTTATTACTAGTGTACTCTGGCTGCCTAGAAACCCAAATAGTGAAATGTAGTATTTTAGGAAATAACTCATCCAGTTTAGATTTTTAAGGTACCTTTGTTACAAGCTTTTTAGTCTGATGTTTAAGTTAGCTTTTGCTGTGGCAACAGTAAATTTATTTTGAGTATGAATTTGCTGGTTAAAATTTTAAGGTAGGGATAATCAATAAGTGTGAGTTCCTGGCTTTCCATGCTTTTGGGAGCCAAAGCCTAAGGGTGGCTCATACTATTGTATGTTAAAAGAAGATAAAAAGGAAAAAAACCAAATGAGCAAACAAACAAACAAACAAAAAGAAGTTAGCAACAGATTTACAGATATCACCAGTCTGCTCTTTTGGTTGGGTTTTTTGAGTATAGAAGTGCAGATTCAAGTTCCATTTAAAAAGAATAAATTATTTTTAATTTGATACCAGCCAGCATAGGCTTCTGTCCTGATTGATTGACATTTGCATTAGGAGAAAGCAAATGATTAAAAACCAAAACCTAGACTTCTTTGTGTCCTAATGTGCTTGTGTGGATGACTTCATAGTCTGAAGAACAGAACAGTGCGGTGAGTCCTATCCATGTTTTATGGAAAATACCACAATTTAAGGTGTCATACAGTGCTGTTTTCTGCCATGCTTTCCTGGTGAGTTGTGTATAGGTTATTTCAGGACTCATTGTAAAGATGCCATTATGTAGGTATTACTGATTCATTTACTGTGTGTCTGTGCAAGGCTTTTGAGACTGACTTTCAAGCGTTTGAGTAAGACAGGTAAGAGGTCTTGAGAGAGGAGGTTTTGATCTGGAGTCGGTCTCTGTATTTGAAGTCTTAAAATTATGATTCACTTTTACTGTTAGCATTGGAAAGCTGTTGATATGCAAAATGAATGTTGCAAACTAAATTCTTGAGCTGGGAAAGAGCCGAATGGCAGCCTGAGGGGAGATTGCAGCAGAGACTAGAAGCTTTTCTCACTGGCTGGCAGCAGCTATTGGTTCTGGATAGCATTGATGACAAGTACCTGCTGCTGTAGGGTGGAACAAATCTGATTAAAAGATGGCAGTGGGGATTAGGTGCTAGGAAAAATCTAAGGTTTTGCAATCACTTTGAGAGACTTACCATAGGTTTTGCACTTGTAAGTGTGCAAAATGGGGGGTGAGGAGGTCTTCCAGAATGTATGTGGGAAGAGGGACTGTGAGAGGAGTCTCTTAAAAGGACAGAAAATTATGTGCTTGGGAATTCTGAAACCAAACTGTTCTAAGTATGAGGCAAAATTTTTAGTGCTAGGAGTGATTTTTAGGTCCCAGGCTGGCTTTATTAGCTGCATAGTGTCATAGTAAGAAATAAAGTTTGTTTCATTTATTTATTTATTTTCATGGAAAAGAGCTTAGTTTGATACTAGCTCCTGGTTCACCCTCATCTGCAGCAACAGAAAGCTCTGAAGGCATAAAGATCAGCTATCTTCACTTCTGTGATTCTGCATACAGTGAAAGACAAGGGAAGATGACGTGAGGGGCCCTTCTTTGGGGTGAAAAGGCTAAGAGATTTAGTGATTTAACATCTAGAATAATTGTCTCCAATTCGTATCTCTGTGCCCTGTTTCCTTTTCTGTAGCTTAGCCAGTTCTGGGAAGATACAAAAGATTTCATAGTGGTTGAAGTCTTATATAAGACATTTATTTCTCTCTTCTACACATTAAGATAAATTGTGTAGGTTAGGTAACAATATTATATCTGAATCTGATTTTCCTGCACGTTTTCTGGAACTACTAAATCAACAGTTTAGTTCTTGAGCTGATGACATTGCGCATCTGGATAGTTTATTTTTTGGTGGTGGTGGTTTGTTTCTTCTAGAAATCCATTTCCAGCTTGGAATCCATTTAGAAATAGTCAAGAGAATAGTCAAGGGAGAAAAAATGTTCTTCAAGAAATGTGTCCTGTTCCAGAGTATACTTGGTGATATAACTTGACATTTTTCTGGCATGTTTGTATTTCTAGTCTGACTACAAATCTGGCTTAACAAAATGGAGCCAAATATCTTCCTTAAGAGTACCCCCAGTGGACTGTAATAAATTGCCTGGGAATGTAATTCCAAGCTCAAAGGTCAGAGTATGTGGTTCAGGTCAGGAAACCTTCTGCTTTTCCTGCTCCTTCTTGATCGAGGTCTACAGGCATTCCAAAGAGAATAATTTGATTTTTGTAGGATTTATAAAGGGGTCTGTTTTCATTAAAAGTTAGGTTTGACTAATGTCTCATGCTGTTAGTATTCATTATGTCTGTCTAATCAGCACTGTGTATCTAAAGTAAATTCTAAGAGGGTAAGAGAGCTTCATCAGAAGAATATTCAGTCTCAACAGAGTCAATCATATTTTCATTCCTGTGATTCTGTTCAGGTCTTTTTTGCAAGGGTTTGTTGTGCTAGCATGGCTAACGGCACAATGTGTTCTTTTAGCCTTGCATATAAATTTTTAAAACTATTCCTCTGTTTTTTTTGACTGATGAACTCTTACTCAGCTGGCAAACTTGTATTCTGGATACAGAGGGGAGATCCATATTTGCTATTTATTCTAAAGTATTTACTACATTGTCTACTTAAGTAGAAAGAATGAACAATTTGAAAACTGCAGGACACTTCAGTTACATTTATAAGTATATAAACTAATTTCTCTCTAAAATGCCCTGGGAGTGGAGTAATGTCATATGTTTGCCTGCACTGTTGTGATAGTACTCTCTACTGCTCTATGAAAAATACAGTAAAGCCGTTTTTTCTAACTGTTCTTTTTTGTTTACTTGTTTATGCCATTTGGATATTGCTGCCTCCTTAAATTGAACAAATACTCAGCAGATTTTTACTGCTTTAAGCTGTTTTTTTTTTTAACTTTTCAGCCTTTTTCCACATCTGACATTTAAGTATTGGTTATGAGAAAATGAGATACACTTAGAGGTTCTATTCATAGGTATATTATGCTCTCGTGCATAAGCTTGAATAAATGTGTGCATGTCCTATATTTGCACTTAGGTTTCAAGAAGAAGCCAGAATCAGCTGAAAGTACCTCAGAAGATGAAAATGAAGTTGAAAAACAGAAGGTGAAGTGGTTTAAAACTTTAAGAATTACAGTTGTTACATTACCTGTATTCTGCAAATATATATGTTATGTGTTTGTGAGTGGAACTACTGAATTCCATAGGACAGCAATAGAATAAAACTGTATAATTTTAATAGCAAGAGCTTTTGGAACAAAAGCTACCCAAGAAGAATGGTAGATGGTCCATGCCTTGATGTCTAAAGATTATGCCAGGGTATCTTTCTGGAAGATTATAGTTGAACAGAGCTCAACAGAGTTAGGTAACACTGAAATGTAAGGGCATGAAGCCGTACTGGTTGAGCTGATAGTCCCGCTAGCTTTAAAGCTATCCCAGCATGTTTGGGTGTTGGACGGTGCTGAGGATTTACTTTTAACATCAGCATTGTATGAAACATTTGTGTGGTCAAACCTTGTTCTGTAGACTTTTAAACCTGAAGATTGAATTGTTTGCTATTGCATTTTTGCTTTTCATTTTTTCTCAGAACAAATTTAACTAAATAAATTTTAAATTCATATGTTAATTTTTATTTTGTTATATAAATATCAATATCAAATTGTATTCGTTCATGATTTCTAAGTTATGGTGTGCAATTTTTAGATTAGATTATTAGTATGTTTGAAAGTTGAACATGGATATTTGCATTTATTTTATATCTAATAAAAAGGAAATCAACTGTTGTATTTAATATTACACCTTAAAATGTTAAAAGAATGTTGTTATGGATGAAATAATACTGCCCTGACGACCCTATTTCAACTCATTTATATGTACGTAGACTCATACAGACTTTATTAGCGAGATGCTATATTTTTCATAGAAAACTTACTTTCATTGTGCACATGGACTTTCTTATTTTGTAACAGGCTGAAATGGCCCTACTTATGATGGATGATGAGGATGATGCCAGAAAACATTTTAATTATAAAAAGATTGTAGAACAACAGAATTTGAGCAAGAAGAAAAAGAAACTTTTAATGAAAAAGAAAGAATTACTAGAAGATGACTTCCAGGTAATGGTATTCTCTTGATTTTGAGGCTCAGCTAGAACCTTTGTTAATATCAGTTATTTTCAGGACAAATTTGGTGGTTTCATATCCTTCTCCTCCCTTACTCTATCTGAAGGAGAACAACTAATCTACCTTTTTAGGGATTTACAGGCTGTTTTCAAAAAGCAAGAAATATTCTGTTAGTGTTGAAGGGAACAGACTCAAGCTCTGTGTAAGATAACCAGACACTATTTATGCAAGGCCTTGTACGACTCGTTGCCTAAAATACCCATTGGTATGTTTGTTCTGGTTGTCATCCACTGCTGCTCTCATCCTGTCAGTTCTCAACAACAAAATTTCCCTTGGTCCGCCGATAGAGGCGTATGCAGGAGTTGTACTCACTTTGCTTTACCAGTGGTATCTTCTGGCTCTCTACGTCACACTCACTGGGATTTTGTGACTGGAGCAGTTCCAGGAATGGTGAACAATCTCATGAGCTATGACTCCTTGAGCAGCTCGTATTTTATTGTGTTCAAAAGCTTTGCTATTGTGGGTAAAGGTTACCTAAAATAAATACTCCTTTTCTGCCTTCAGGTGAATGTTGCTGATACAAGATTCCAAGCCATGTTTACTTCTCCCCTGTTTAATTTGGATCCTTCAGATCCAAATTTCAAGAAGACAAAAGCAGTAGAAAAGATCTTGGAAGAGAAAGCTCGCCGAAGAGAAGAAAAGGAGCAAGATCTTAAGGAGACAAGCAAGGGGCAGCATAACAAGATGGTGGAGAAAGGAGAGGTTGCTAAGAAAGCCATAGATCCTGCCTTATCAATGCTAATAAAATCTATCAAAAATAAAACCGAAGAGTTTCAGGCAAGGAAGAAGCAGAAATTCAAATAACTGAACTTTGTTTTTACTCAGACTTTATTTTAGTCTCAGTTCTTCTTACTGGTGGCGTCTATTAAAGTTACTACAGCCTGCTCTTGTTCCTATCCACCTAAAAATTCCCGAAAAGTGACTTAATTATGGTGGTGAGTTTTGAAGTAACTAGAGTAATAATCACTCTTTTCTTCTGCCACAACAAATACTGGTTTGTACAATTACTGAAAAACTGCACCTGGAAAACACCTAAGTAAGAAATCGGTGGTTTGGGGACAGCTCATTTTGTATCATGCCGTCTCTTAAAAGATGATAAAAGTGCTGAAGATGGCTACAAAAAGTAGTCATAATTATGGTTGTATTTATAAGTAAGAAAAACACTTCTGCGGAGGTTTATTGCTGAGACTAAGTGGTCTTAATATTTTTAATTCCACAGAAGTCTGTAAAACGTATTTCTGTTGATAACGAAGGTAGTACTATAACTAAAAATCAAAGAAAATTTTTATACAGTTTTTTTGTACATTTTTAAAAGATTACATATATGCTTCATTAATTTATCCTTTAAATACTTGAAGACTTCCTGGATAATAGAACTAATTGACAGAAAGACGGCCATTTAGAAGTGTTGAATTAATATATATTGGAAACAAATGGTTTAAATTGGCCTGAAGAAATTTTGGGCACTTAGCTGTGTTTTCTTCTTCTGCGCCTAAATGAAATTATGTCAGAATTAAACTTTTTGCTATTAGTACTGCATTCCCATTAATATAGTTACACAAAGTCTTCCAGCATTGCAAGTGTGAAAGAAAGAAAGAAGTCAAAGGCAGATCTAGATGATACAGTTTTTAAAACCCTGGCTGTGTTAGTATTGGTGTCAGTGATGGCGGTATCAATGGTGCAGGGAAAATACAGTAGGTAGAAAATGATCTTTCTTCCCTGGAGAGTGGGGATTGGTTTGTCTTAAGTTTTGGGTTGTTTGGGGTTTGTTTTTTGGGTTGTTTTGGGTTTTTTTTTTAAAGTGTTTGCTGTATCAGCTCTAATGGAAATACAACATTGTATCAAAAAAGAATGAAAATTTTAGAAACAAGGAGGTGAAAGGTAATTTGTCATTTTAAAGAAGTATTGTTAATTGCTAAGACATTCTACTGATTTAAACAAAGAATTCTATTAAAACAGAGGTTAGAAACTATTGATAATCGAAACTAGTGTTTATATGAAGTAAATATATCTCAGTATGTAAAGGAGATTGCAGAGTCAGATTTAGCACATGAGAGTCTCTCCACCTAATGGCCAAAATGGACAAAGTAATTAAGGACACAATAAAGAAATGCAAGTGGAGATGGTTTTTGCAAGAGCGCTTTGCAATGATGTGCCTGTGGAACGCTTGCAGACCTTGAACATTTTAAATGTAATTGCTCTTCATAAACATTTGAACATCTTCAGATTCATTTTCAAGTAGCTAACAGAAGAAGTTGAAGAGATACTACAGTCCTTTGTACAGAAATTTGATCCAGCTTCTGTGGCTTCTTAGCTGTTCAAGCAATATGGCAGGACCCAGCAAACCTATGGTTTGTAGTTTGAGCTGACCAACGGTGATGGAGAACAAGGAAGACTTGTCCCCCTGGCAGTAGCAGGAAGCTTCTCAACATGAATGTACAGTGGAGAACGGCATAATGATATTCAGCAAGATACAAATTTCTAAAGAGAGGAAAGATGCTTTGGGAAACAGAATTTTCCACCAAGGGAAGTGTCCCTGCATCAAACAGGAGAGCCAACTGTTGCTACTTAAGAAAATGTTACGTGTCATACAAAAGTGATAGAAGCGTACACATACGCATCTGATACAGACAGTGGATATGGAGACAAGCCTCTCCCATAATGAGAGATCATAGTAATTTTATAATAAAATTTGCAGCATGGAAAACTAAGTAGGTGTCTTCAATGCAGTTTCATAAGACTGGCACACGTGGTATGATTTCCAGGCACAAAGTGACACCAAGCTGAAAGGGTAAAATTTAGACATACCATGTATTTGTACAGATTCTTTTTCTAAGTGTGATTCATTGTATGGCTTATATGTTGTAGGCATATGAAATGCACGAGAGACAGCAGCTTGAATGGAATGAGATTTAGAGATTGGATAGAGATTGGTAGTGGTGAGGGAAGGGCGAGCGTTTATGTTTATGAAGTGTGTGGAAAATCAGACAGCTGAGAACAAAAGCAAAAGGTCTGAACGGAAACATAAGTCAAATGAAGGATCCACCTGGCCCAGCGTCTGGTCTCTGACGGGAACCAGGAACAGGAGACACTAATGGTGCACTTCCAATATTACACCTTGTCAGCGAGGAAGTGGGTAAGTTCCTAACTGTTTTAACTGTTTCTTGCAGAAATACAGCTTGGGTAGGACTAACTGTTGTAGGTACTCACTTTGTAAAAGCACCCTTTTATAGCTGTAGGAACAAGAGAGAGTTTCGTTCTGTGTTGGTGCACTTACAAATTCTGTTTTACCATAGACAGTCTCCCATAACTTTGTTTAAGAATTTGTATGGAAAAGCAGATTTGGTGGGAGGATGAAAGGCAACAAACTGCACTGTCTCTTGAATCCTCTCACCCTGCCAAGTTCTACCAAATACTGCATTTGATGTGCGTGCTCTTATAATGGAGCGTTCCTTCTTTGTGCACTAGCAGTAGGCGTAGCCTGCTGTGCAGTAGTTGAGTAGAGTCACTTAAATTATCAGTGCTTTTCTTTTTGGCTCAGTGCTTTTATAACTTTACTGGAAAAACGCGGGGCATCGGTGTATCTCTGCTTCTCCAGAAAGCCCAGAGAAGCCAAATGACTCACTGGTACAAAACTCTGCAGCAGAATTTCTGTACTTACGCAGTGCATCTGTCCTTTACAGTAACTTTGCTGGAGGACTAATTTAAAAAAAAAAAAAAAGGTTATAAAATTAAAAAGTCACAAATAGCAATGACTTCTTATTGGAATTAGATGGTATAAGTTATGTTAGGTCTTTTCTTCGGGTGTACGTGGCTACCTTCATCCTTCCAGTTAGGAAGCCTAACCTGTACTTGGAAGACATAGCAAGACAAAATGCACAAAAATATGAAGGCAGACTTGACAGTGATTTTAGCTATTGGTTGGAAAAATTGTTTCACTGTGTGGTAATGAGTATTGGGTATCATGTAAATGCTTAATGTATGATAATTTTAGCTAATCAGCTGCTGTTTTTTTGTTGTTGTTTTTGTTCTCAAGTTGCTGAGTCCTGAGGGGGCATCTTGGTTGGGAAGAACTGCAGGATCTGTCCCAGCATGCATCTTAGATGGAAAATTTTTGGTCTGTTTAGAAAACAATTAGATCTAAATCCTCTGGGTTTTTTCCTGCCTTTTTTTTTTTTTTAAATCAAGTTATTAATTACTAATTGCTAATGGCTCAAAGCCCACCATCTAATCTCCATCATTCCAGAACAACGCTAACAAAATCCGAAGTGACTTCTTTCTGTGTTTTCAGCAGAAGCCTATCTTGGAAGTCTGGTAAGAAGTGGTCATGTCTCATCTAGGATTCCTTGCAATTCATTGCCCTTGCTGTAAACAAAACAAAGGATGTTTTTGACCATCTCATCCTTTTAAACATGAAAATAGGATCTAGACGTTCTAACCTCTGAACTTTAAAATATGATTTTATTTTTCCCTTTCACTAAATGTCATGTAACCAGCAAATGGGATGGCAATTAAGTAAAATAACACAATAAAACCAGGACTTTTAAAAGTGAGACAGAACTAATTTTTCTAGCAACTTATGGAGGTCTGGTATAAAGTAGTTTGTGTCCAAGTTGGCAGCCATCAGAGCTCATGCTAGAGTGTAAGCCAGACATTTAAAGATCTAGTATTACAAGTGGAAATCACTAGAGGGTTTGATTTATTTAAAAACCAAGAAAGATCAGACAACCAGAGATGAAGAGCCATGTATGTTTTCTGTTATTCCTTCCTTCTAAAAAATTAAATGTATTATTTCCAATTAATAGCAAGTTGGCTTTTTGTTCTTTTCATATTTCAGTAGTGTCCAAAAATAACAGTAAGTTGTGCTGTCACATACTTTTTTAGCAGACAAAACAACCAGCCAAAATACTGTGGGTTTTTTTTAAATAAACTCTTAGTCTTATGTTATACGTGATATATATTTAAAACTACTAGAGGAATTAGGTTGTTTTGCACTTGTCTTAAATTATGAGTTAAATGCCTCAACCTCAGTTTTGTAGCTAGGATAAGAACAACAGAAGTAGTTGTTCTGATGGCACAGTAATTTTCATCATTTCATAGAATACTTTAAAAAAATGCAACCTTCCTAACGTAAAACTGTACCTTTTCATGCCCAGGACTATGTTACTGTAGTCCTGTAAAAAGCAAGATGAGGTGGCAGAAAGGTCTGTTGTCTTGTCTATTTTTTTCTGTGCTTGACATACAGTGTTACAAACGGGAATATTTTTGTCCAGGTTCTGGATCCAATCTAGATTAATGTCACTTAAGGTCATTATTACTTTATATCCTCCCCATTGCTAGCATATGAGCAATCCCCACTCCGTACTGTTCCAGCTCTGTATTTCAACCATGCGAGACTACGCAAGTTTTAAAGAACATTGCTTCTAGCCTCCAGTGAGCACACTGGCACCACAGCCCTGCTCCTGTCCCATTCTCAGAGACACCCGATCCAAAGGCTGGTTGCCACGTTTTCATGGGCAAATGCTCTTGGGCTGCGTCCCATGCGCTCCTTGGCACGGCACAAATCCCTTGGCTTTGCACTGAAATCCTGCCCGATGCACTTAGACCTTTCTCCTTTTATATTTCTGGGGCAAGGAAGGAGGGAAAGGAACAGTTGAGGCAGATAGGGTTTGTATTGACATCCGACAGCATTGAGTGAAAGACGGACATTGTAAGTCTGAACAGAAGAATGGCCCATCGCAGTCAGCGACGTGTGTGGCTGAGCCGCCGCTCAAACGGGTTGGCAGTTTGTCCATGGAAAATAC